CCACTGCCTAGATGCCTCCCAAACAGATCAAGCCAATCAACTGTCTCACCTATTCAGAGGGCCTGATCCAGTTGGGGGCTTGGAACTCTCTTTGTAAACCAGGCTGGCCTCAAACCCAGAGATCTGCTTGCCTCTGCCTTCCAAGTGCTGGGATTAAAAGTGTGTGCCACCGTGCCCAGCATTATAATAATACTTTTAAAAGATAATCAGCATCAGTGATTTAGAAAATGCATTTGGCAATACACAGCCATGAGGGTAGCTAACTTATCATTCAGCCTAGCACTGTGAATCCTATCCATTGCAATCAAACAAGGAATGGATATAAAGACTGGAAAGAACAAATAAAGAACTGCACCAATTTGTATACAATATTATATTCTAGTTACAAAGTTTCACGGTATTAACAAAAAAGATCCCTAGAAACAAGCTAAGAGTTTAACTTCTTCATTGGACACAGATGAATGTACAGAAGTTTTTATTTCAAGGGTAGGAGGATGGCTCAGAAAGTAGAGCACGAAGTTTACATGCCCAGAACACATGTAAAAAGCCAGGTATGGAGGCACAGGGGAGGCTGTTGGTTTGCTTATTTTGGGTTTGTTTGTTGGGGTTTATTTTTTTCGTACATAGTCTTACCATGTAGGCCTGACTGGCCTGCGACTTGTTATGTAGACCAGGCTAGACCCAGACTTGCAGAGGTCTGTCTGCCTCTGCCTCTTGAGTGCTTGAAATCAAAGTCATGTGTGGTCATACCTGGCAGTGGCACATGTTTTGAATCCCAGATCTTGGGAAGGTAGAGACAGGCAGAGTCCTGGGGCTCATCAGCCCTTCTGGTCTACTTGGAGGGCTCTTAGCCATTAAGAGACAATCCAAAAACTAAAGTGGATGTGTTCCTCAGGTTGTCCTCCCACCTCTACACACAAAAATGCATGAACACCTACACATGCATGTGTATCCACACAGGAATACATACACATGCATACACATATACATACACACAAAGATACATTTCTATATACTAATAATGAATAAGCGTATGGAAGCTGAGATCAGAAGTCCAAAATCATTTATAATGCTTTCAAAGAAAATGGTTCTTTAGATAACCTATAAAAATGTATAAAGGATCTCAATGCCAAACCATACAAATTTCAATAAAAGAAATAAAAAACATTTTGATGAACGAAGACAGACTTTGTTCATGACTTAAAACAACCAGCATAGAAATGGTGTCAGTTCTCCCTCAAAATTGGTCTATTTAACACAATTTCAAGCAATGCCTTTTGTACTGACAATTTGATTCCTAAATTATGTGGATATGCACAGCCCCTAGAATAACTAAAGATGTGCTGTAAAATAAAAATTGAAGATGGAGGGATCACTCTACTCCATATTAATATATACAGATGATCTTTGATTTACATTGAGGTTACATCTGGATAAATCAATTTGAAGTTGAAAATATCCTAAGACGAATATGCACTTACTGCACCTACTCCACTGATCACAGTAGCTGAGCTGCAATGCGGAATCTTGACTGTTTTCCCTCACCATTGCATAGTGACTGAACACTGCCCTCCATCGCCAGAGATGATCTGGCTTTGGTTTGGATTTGATTTAACCTGTTGATATAAAGATTAGATGTTAACATGAAAGGGCGACCATCAAATACAACAGAAAAGGAACAAAATTCATGCACCACTGATTTGATGGCACTGCGTGGGATAGTTAAGTACAGTATGCAAATAATGAGAAGTACAATGAGTCCTTTGGCCTGGCTTCCTGGGAGACAGTGGAAGAAGGGTGTTAGCGTGCATAGGAGAGAACTTCTGGATATAGTTTCCTATAGAATTAGCAAAAGTGGTCCACACGAGCTAGCCTTCAAACCCCTCCATTCTAGAGTATTCCCCAAGAACGAATCCTAGCAGCACATCATTCATGCCACTCAGTGTTTGTGCACTCTGGGAAGACTAACAGGCTGAACAGGTGGGACAGGCACTTGAGAGGTGCGAGACTTCGTGGAGAGAGGGCTCCCATCCGTGGGACTGTGGCAGTGAGACAAAGCAAGCCTGGCCCAAGCACTGCGGCCACTCTCCAGCAGCAGGACTCAGGATGAGACAAAGATACCTGCTGAACTCGGGGCGGGGGTGGGGGTGGGGGTGGGTAGGGCTTCTGCCCAGAGCCTGTAGTGAGGGGGCGGAGCTGAGCAGTCGCAGGTCTGGCGGGAGGGCGGAGAGCAACTGAGGCGGTGGGGTGGTGGGGTGGTGGGTGGAGCACTAGAGGCTGCAGGGACCCGGGAGCCCGAGGGCGGGGCTGCCGGGCAGCGTGGAGCGGCGTGGCGCAGCGCACTTAGCTGGCTTTGCAGCGGGTGAGCCAGTGAGCCAGGCCGATGGCGGTGACTACAGCCCTGTCTGCTGCAGCGGCGGCTGCGGCCCTATCAGGCCTGGCAATGCGACTGTCGCGTTGGGCGGCGACACGCGGCTCCTACAGCGCCTTCTGCAAGGGGCTCACGCGCACGCTGCTCACCTTCTTCGACCTGGCCTGGCGGCTGCGCGTGAACTTCCCTTACTTCTACATGGTGGCCTCGGTGATGCTCAATGTCCGCCTGCAGGTGCGGATCGAGTGAGCCATCGCCCGGCACCACGGCGGCCCCTCGGGCGGAAGGCGCCACCCGCGCCAGGCGGCCGCGGGAAGGACCGTGGGGCCGCGCAGAGCCCAGAGACCGCGGCGGGGGGCACAGGCGGGACGGCCCGGGCCCCTCCATTTTAGGCCTCCTCCGCGGAGGACCCAAGGTACCATATCCCATAGCGCAAAAAACCTTCACAGCCGAGTCCTTTTCCACTGCATCCAGAGAATCACCAGAGTCTGGCAAACCTGTTGCCTCCCATTGGCCAGAAAGGGGCAACACTCGAAAGAGGGGATGCTACAGCAGGACTTACCAGGCCCTGTGCGGGAAGGTAGGTGCAGACAGGTTGGAATGGAGGCTGGTGGGTATGACTTGTTTGTGGGAAGAGGGAATACACCATGGCACACATGCTGCTTAGCCAAGCTTGGAAACTGAAAAGGTAGGCGAGGCTCTCCCGTGTTCCCTGCTGGTGGTGCCATGATTGGGTATTGGGCGGCCATGGCATCTTGGAGGGCCAACTTATCACCAACACACAGACAGGAAGCCCCTCCCACCCACCTTCCAGGTCTCAAGACCCTTTTTTTTGTAAAAGCCTCCTGAGATGTAACCTGAACCCTGAATGGGACAGGATTAGGCGAGTGAGCCACCAGGAAGGTCCCATGAGGGACCTTTGATCCTTACCTGTTGGGTGGTCAGATAAAAAGGACAGTTCTTTTCTGAACCAAACCTCAGGTCTGTCCCCTTCTTTGCATGGAGACCCAAGGAGAGTCTCTGCAGCTCTGCACAGCCCTCCTCCAAACTGCTCCTGCACTGTTGGGGATTGTGCAGGGTCTGGCCTCTGCCTGCTCCTCCTGCCCTCCCTCCTGCTCCCCTAACCCGGTCTGGGGGCATCCTCAGGCTCTGCATCTGCAGACAGGAAAGAACAGGAACTATTCCTCCCTGTCTGCCCGGCTCCCTGCAGCCCCTGCGATGACACTCTCCAGACCCAGAAGCCCATCTACCAGCCATGGGCAGCCTGGCAGCTGTGTACCACAGGATCTGGGGAAGGGGAAGGACTCCAGGAGCAGGCAGCTGCTGTCAGAATAAGGTAGAGAAGGAGAGTGCACAGGAGGCCAGCTCTGAAGTCTCCCTCTTTTTTATTTCAGGCCTTGCTCTTCTAGGTGATGGCTCACCACTTCTGAGATCATTTCAAGATGGATCCCTACATAGAGATGCCTGCTGCTGTTCCTGTAGCAGCCCGGGGAGCAGCTGAGTGAAGAGCCTACCTGGAAGAGGAAAGGCCCTTCTGGTAGAGGCCTAGAGGGGTGTCGTGGCTCGGGTCTTCTGGCCCTTCCGTAGAAAAGATGCCAGTGTACCTTGGGCACTGATATCTCCTAGCAACACTGTGAGGGAGATGTCTTCTCCCACCTCATGAACTCAGTGGGGCTCAATGAAAGGTGTGGGATTTGCCCTTGTTATACACAGAATAGTGGGGAGCTCAGCCTGCCCTGGACCTCCATTCCCCCACCTCCTCTGCAGTCTTCTTTGGGGTTGGGAGGGAGTAGAGAGCTGCCAGGGGACCTAGGGAGAAAGAGAGACCATGGGGGTGGGGAAGCTGGGCATCTACCTTTCCTTGGAGTAGTCCAAAAGACAGGCCAGTAGTTGAGTTCATGAACAGAGAGGAAGGTTCGAGAACTTCCTGAAATGTCTAGTCCTCCCTACCTCTCTGGTGCTTGACCAAGGGCTCCTGAGCAGGTGTGTGCTAGTGGACTGCAAATGTGGTTCATGAGAGGTTGGGGAACTACGTGCTGAAACCCATGGTCTGTATGGCCCTGTTTCTCTGTTCCCAGGCTTGCAGCCCCATTCCTAGCATCACATGGAAAAAATCTCCTCCAGATAGGCTGAGGATAGTCTGTCAGGAGGCCCTGCATAGGCTAGAGTCTCCAAATGCCCAAGGACAGCCCAAGGGGTACTTTTACTACTTATCCAACACTCCCCCAGCTTTTCTATGCTGGTATCTCAAGATCCATGCATTCCATTCCTGATGCAGAAACCTTCAGCATGCCAGCCAGCCCCAGGGACAGAGTGACTCATCCGCCTACTTGGAGTCAGAGACCCAAATGAAGATCTGTCTCAGCTGAAGGACACAAGCTGAAAGGTGGCTGCCACATGCTTTCTGCTGTTTGCCATAGCCCAGGACCTGATGGCTTCCTTCTGCCAAGTCTCCCTGAGTAGTCCATATATGTATGTTTGAATGCATGTGTGCACGCCTGTGTGTAAACATGTGTGATGGAGATGGAGCTGTTGGGTAGCGACAAGAGCTCCTGGGAATCTCCTGTTTCCTGTGTACAGGAGGGATCATGGACTACTTGGAGAAATGGGTATGGAGTCTGAGGCCCTGCCTTCTTAGACCTCCCAGTCCAGGGAAGCCCCTCCCTGCTCATGTTCAGGCATGGACTGTGGTGTGAAGTCAGAGGCACTGGCATTGGACTGGATTCTGGGCCCAGTGGCGTCAGTCAGGAGACGGGGATAGAAGGAGGACTCAGCTTTGTGTTCGTGTCCCATTGTGGCCCTGAGTAGTCTGAGCTTCTGCGCCCCCCCCCTCCGCGGGCTACTTCTGTTCCTCCCTGGTGCCCTCGCTGTGTGATGGGGTGGTGATGCACTTTATTTCCTTGCAGTCTGCATTGCAGGCAGCGGAGCATCAATCAGTTCAGAGACTTGGATGAGCGTGCTTTTCCTTGTGTGATGAACTCTGCATTGCCAGTGTTGTCTGGTCAGAGATGGAGTTCCGATGCTGTCACTTGTTGTTGTCTCCCAAAGTGAGAAGAAAACCCTTGGGTTCAGTACACCAAATACCGCCTGCACGCCTCCTGTTTTTCTGCACGCCTCCTGTTTTTCTTGGGTGCCATACCGTACCTGGGTGGGGAAGCGGGCGGGGTATGGGACAGCAAGCCCAGAGGGTCATCCAGAGCTGAGCAGGGAAAGTGCAGCTTCAGAGCCTCCTTCTAGACTGTCCTGGACAGGACCACCACCCTCTGCTCCCCCTGCACCAAGGGGGAACAGTCGAGCTGGCCCGGAATGTTGCAGTTGGTCAAGAAGCATAGGTCTTCTCTTGGCTTCTAAAGACTGGTGTCAAAAGATGCTTAACTGAAGTTGAACTTCAAGGGTAAAGGGAAGTGTAACTGTGGTCTTCTGCAGGTCAGAGATTCCTGAAAAGGTAAACTACCCATTAGGCAATGTTTTGCCTATTTTCTCTTGGCCTTAGGATCCAAAGTCTGTCCACTCAGAGTAGCCCTCCCCTGGGCTCCCCCAGAGAAACAAGGAACTGATAAGGTTGAGGTGAGAAGGTGGTTGGCAACCAAAAACCTAGGTGAGCTAGACAGAAGTGGTGGCACACACCTTAAATCTCAACACTCTGGAGGCAGAGCAGATGAATCTCTGAGTTCGAGGCCAACCTGGGCTACAGAGTGAGATCCAGGACAGGCACCAAACTACACAGAGAAACCCTGTCTTGAAAAAACAAACAAAAAAACAACAACTAGATGAGCCGCCCAGTGGTGGCACACCTTTTATCATGACACTCAGAAGGCAGAGAGGCAAGGAGATCTCTGAGTTCGAGGCCAACCTGAAAGACAGAGTGAGTTCCAGGTCTACACAGGGAAATCCTGTCTTGAACCCCACCCCCAGAAAGAGAATTTAGGGAAGACAGAAGATAGAGGGGAGGGTAAGGCTCGAGGGAAGGGTGAGAAAGGAATATAGGAGAGTGGAGGATAAGCTCAAGGCTGGTGTCCCTCTGGAAGAGGCCAGAGGCCTGTGCAGGAAGACACTGGAGCATCGTGGGAGAAACGTCCACCACACACTAAAAAGGCATGCTCCAGCTGAGGAGTACAGGCCGGGTTTAGGGGCTCAGGTTCTATTCATTTCGTGTATGTCTCCAAGGGTCCCCAGGGGTCAGAAGACCATAATGCCAGCACTGGGTGTGAGTCCACGTGGCATCTGCCCGTATAAGCACAGATCTGAGTCCCGCTTCGTTTTCATCTCATTAGGTTGCACTCTCAGGTCACATGGTTCAGCAAACTAAGAAGTGAAATACCCAACCCAGAGCCAGGACCCTGGGCATGGTAATGAGAGCAGGCCCCCCACTGCTACAGAGGATGCAGGCAGACTTGGCATGCCATGGTGATAGGTGGTGGCTGGAAAGCCCTGCGCCAGAGCTGCTTCCGTCTGGTCCCTGGCACAGTGGTCCAGCCCAGTGCACCACACACAATGTGCATTGGTTTGTTAAGTGACCCTCCCGTGCTTGTGGGCATTCAGTGGTGTAAAGGCTGTTTGCCAATTGTCATGGGGGCAGCCTAGTTGCTAGTAGGAAAAGGAAGCAGGTGATGAGAACTGACATCCAAGGAGATCTTGCAGGGTGATTGCACTACCACATGCTCTGCATTCTGAATCTCAGCGTAGTCCCACCACCCATAGTCCCACCTCCTTGTCCTGTGTCCAATAAAAGAGGCAGGATCTAAAATAGACCATGATGCAGAAGCACATTGCCTGGACCCCTGTCCTTGTGTAGCAATAGAAAGGTAGGCTGGAAAATGGTGGAATAGCAAAGGCAAGAAGTCCATTCTGTGTGGGGTCCAGGACTCAGATAAGAAAACCTGGGCTTTGGGGAACAGGCCTGCTCCAAAAGGAGCTCCCTATGGGGAGCAGCTGGAGCCATGCAGAGATGGGCCACCTTCTCTCCATACCACCTCCAGAAACTTCTAATCTAGGTGACCGAGTCAGGGGAGAGCAAGTTGGCAGTTACCAGGCAGTTCTAGGATAAACAGAGCTTCTGGAGAAAGCTAGAAGGATGAAGAGCAAGCAAAGTCTCCCGTCCCTGATACCCTACTACAAAGGCTGCTGAGTCTTGGATGAATGGGGTGGGGGGAGTAGAATGTAAAATTGAACTGTGTCAAATAATGTTCCTCGTCCCTCCCACTTCCTGTTTATCATTCCATATTATTGATTTTTTTCTGCATTCAAAGGTGTCTCGGCCCCTTACATAAAGGCATTTTACATTTCCTGGTGTTTTGTCATCCCCTTGGTTGCTGTTCACAGTTTTTCTGTTTTCTGACATTTGGGGGAGGGGTATCGTTTTTTTATTTGTTTGTTGTTATACAGTTTTATAGGCGATGAAATGGCAACTGTCATTGAGGACTGACATGTGGCATACTCATGATCTGTTTCTAAATACGCGCTTTTAGATATGGACGGAAGGGTAGGCATGGTTTGGGGCCTTTGTTTAGATACCAGGTTACTTTCCTCAGCTCAGCCAGGGATGAGTCTTTTTTGAGGAAAGGGTCCTCATTCTGGGTCACAACAGCTTTTTAAGAAGCTACAGCCTTTCATTGCCTGAGCTGGGTGTAGTTCTCTCTCCAAGACCAGTATATCAAAACGAACCCATTACTTTTCTAAAACTATAATCTCCTCCCCATTCACGGCCAAAGTGAAGTCTTCTCTCTTAGTCTCTGTGGACAGAGAACTTGATCTATTGTCTATAAGGCGTTCATTAGGTTTAGAACTTTTTCAGTTCGATACATTAACATGGCTCATTACAAGCGTTCGTTTTAGATTCCTTTGAATACATGTAAGGGCAGTATGTGTTCATATGTCTAGTGGCCACTTGTAATTCTCTTTTCAAACAGAAGCAGTAAGCTTTTAAAAAGAGGAAATGGGGTGTTCTTTTCCATCGTTGATTAATGGGAAATAATTTCGAGCCAGGATGTCAGCTTGAATGTGCTCCATAGACCAGTCTAGCTCATTCCGTCCTCCACCCTCTCCTCTAACACATGGCGAGAATGCATGTCATCGTTTGGAAACACTAGCTGCTCTCAAAGGCGAAACAGAAAAAACAGCGGGCATAGAGGGTGATGAGTGGAGCCGAAAGCAAGCATCCCTTGGAAGCTAGGCCTGAAAGCAGGTCCGGGAGGCCAGGAAAGCCAGCCAGCAACAAACAGACACCCTGTGCAGGGGGAGGGAGGTGAGGGGCCTGGGGGGCTGGAACTGTGTGATTTATATGGACTTCTGAGGCACCAAGGTACCTTAATGTCTGCCGTGAACGGGAACCAGGATATCTTGACTTGCTCACTTGTGACTCAGAATAGTTAATTCTCATGTCCAAACCATGGCTTGAAACAGACTCACCATCAAGACTCAATCCCCAAGAGAAACTTTCTGTTGACATAGGGTTCATGCATGGCTTTGGAATGAACACCTGACAAATAAATATAAGGGCTTAGGAATTTTCTATCCATTGAATCTTAATGAAAGACTCCTCAAGGGTGTGTGTTAGCAGTAAGAACAAGAACCCCAACAGGAAGAGTTACAAAAACAGCAGGTAAATACTCATTAAAACGGGTTTAGATGGAGCCAAAACAGTGGATTAGATGCAAGCAGAACTTCTCAGTTTCTTCATGGCTCAGCATCAAAAGAGGCAAAGAAAACCTCAGTGAGGTAGGTGACTGAGAGACTGCACTGAACATCAGTGGTGGATGGACCGATTTGGAGGGACCTGGAGACTGGTGATAGGACTAGAGACCAAGAGAGACCATGGAGCCCGCAGTGGTGTGGAAGTCTGGCAAATGAGTGGGCTAAGAAAGGGGAGAGCGTGACGTGGAAAGCCAAACCAACCCAGATACGAATGTAGAACACAGAGGCAGTGGGAGCTTGGCTGACCCTGGACCTTCAGAGCAGGCCAGTGCCTGAGAAGCGCTCTGTGCTTCTCAACTCTGAGCTGTGATGCCATGAGGAGGGGCATTCTGGAAAGGTTGTACTCAAACTCTGCGTTGGGAAGCATGAATTCCTTGCATTTTTCGTGTCCGTGGGACTCCCAGCAAGCTTTGCCAGACTGTACTCAACTGCATATAGCTGTGGTTCAATATGGACCTAAGAGTATTCCACTGAAGCACGTTCCCTGAAAATTATATGCTGTGGGGTTTGGGTCAGAAGCACAGACAGGAATGGAACTCAGTTCCCTCCACACTAGCGGTGCTCGCAGGAGACTGAATACGCATGTGCAATCCTGTGCCATTACTTGGGTTCGGAAGTCTCTAGTGACAGGTGGTGGAAGTGCAGGGCCTGCTGTGTCTATGCCTAGACCACTTTGTTACCTCACCCTCAATGCGGGCTTGGGTAGGGATGCCCGAGATCCAGATGTGCAGCACGGCTGTCAGACAAACTCTGTGGCATCAGGGAGCTAATCTGGTTGCAGTTAACTTGCAGCCGGGGGAACTTTGATTCCATGCTGCCTTGTACTAACAAGCAGGAAACCCAAAACCGTTTGAATGAGCTTTCATCCCCACACACTCCTCCTGCCAATTGCTCTCTCCTCTCTGCAAGGGGTACACAGCCCAAGGAGACACAGACAGAAATGAAGAGTGTCAGGGGCAGTGAGTACCCAGTGTTACACAAACACTACAATGGAGACAGTATTTTCTCATCAGGATTTTCTTTCTCAGCCTGGCGGTGGTGGTGCACGCCTTTAGTCCCAGCGCTCGGGAGGCAGAGGCAGGCAGATCTCTGTGAGTTCGAGGCCAGCCTGGTCTACAGAGGGAGTTCCAGAACAGCCAAGGCTACACA